AAAAAAAAAAAAAAAAAAAAAAAAAAAAAAAAAAAAAAATTTTAGTGTGGATAACAAATAAGAGGACAAATAAAAAAATAGATAAACAAACAGAAACAAACAAAAACAAAAAAAATAAAAAAATAAAAAAAAAAAAAACGGACTTTTAGTGTGGAAACGAATTCATCTTCAAAGAAACCGCCGTAGATAGACTGCCCGCCTTTCCCTGTGTTTGTTGGGTCCCCCATTTGTACAGCGAAGCCTTTTATGTTTCTGTGTATATAAATATAAATAAATATAAATAAATATAAATAAATATAAATAAATAGATATAAATATAAACTAATATAAATAAATATAAGTGTATATATAAAGAAATAGAAATAAATAGAAATAAATAGAAAGAAATATAAATAAATATAAATAAATAGAAAGAGATATAAAGAAATATAAATAAATATAAATTAATATGAATTAATATAAATAGATATAAATAGATATAAAGAAATATGAAGAAATATAAATAAATATAAATTAATATAAATAAATAGAAAGAAATATAAATTAATATAAATAAATATAAATTAATATAAATAAATAGAAAGAAATAGAAAGAAATATAAAGAAATATAAATATATATAAATTAATATAAAGAAATATAAATAAATATAAATATATACAAATTAATATAAATTAATATAAAGAAATAGAAAGACACATAAAGAAATATAAAGAAATATACAGAAATATAAAGAAATAGAAATAAATAGAAACAAATAGAAATATAAGGAAATACAAAGAAATATAAATAAATATAAATAAATATAAATAAATAGAAATAAATATAAATAAATGTAAGTTATTATGGACAGTATTTATGTTGTTAATTTAGTTTAAGTTTTTTAATATAAAGGAAGAAAGAAAAGGAGACAGAGAGAGACAGAGAAAGACAGAGACAGAGAAAGAGAGAGACAGAGAAAGAGAGAAAAGGAAGCATAAACACAATACAGACACACAACACGCCGCTCAGCAGCAGCAGCAGCAGCAGCAGCAGCGGCAGCAGGAGCGGCAGCAGCAGCAACAAAAAAGCAGCAGTAGCAGCAACAAACTACAGAAAATAGCAGAAGCAACTTGTGCTGCAGCAGCAAATACTGCAGCAGCAGCAGCAACAGCAGCAGCAACAAAAGCAGCAGCAGCAGCAGCAGCAGCAGCAGCAGCTATTCTCACCGCGTCACGATGCATCCATCGTAGGCATTAGAGGCGCAGAGAGCCAAGAAGTTCTGAAACACAGCAGCAGCAGCAGCAGCAGCAGCAGCAGCAGCAACAATAGTGCATGTAGTAGCAGCAGCATGAAGAGGTGCAGCAGCAGCAGCGCCAGCAGCAGCAGCAACTCGTGCAGCAGCAACAGCACAAGACGCAGCAGTCGGACATTCGAGCCAGCATATGCAGCAGCAGCACAAACAGCAGCAGCAGCACAAACAGCAGCAGCAGCAGCAGCAGATGCAGAAGCTGCAACAACTGCAGAGCCAGGATGCACAGCAGCAAGA